TAGTCTCGACGTGGCATCCACTAGTGGCAACTGCGTTAACCTAGAACGGAAAAAAATTACAAACAAAAATATAAAGATGCAGTCCAGGTATCCACACACATTATGAGCAGCTCCAGCTGTAAACTTCCATCTCAAAAAGCGCCTCTTAGTAACGTACAAAATTGAAGTTTAGGTGTTGTTAACCCTGTGCGATATACTTTACAGCTAATGGGGTGTACTCTATTGCCAATGAAAACTAGTGAGTTGCAAACGCATCCTCACCAGGTGATGCAGTTCATACGCGAATGTGTCCACTCCAACCGACCGACAGCGTCTATTGTTTTCCAGCGAAGAATGTAAGGAAATATCTCGCAGAACGCTTCTCGACCTATATTGTCGACAAAATAAACGGATCAAATGAAACTAATGAAGGTTTGATCTTTACTACAAAAAGGAGTTGGTGTTCTTTGCTAAGTGACAGCTATCAATCAAAATCACCACCGAAACACGCTGTAATAAGCGAAACGAAAGCAATAAGCCTTCACTTTAGCCCCACAATAAAGTAATGCCTCAGTATTTATTAAAGTCGACTTATTTTATAAGAGGTGAAGCATAAAATAAAGCACATCAAACCCATACCTTCTCTTAGAAGATTTGAAATGCGATTCTACATTTGACTGCGACGCCACTTTAAATACAAAAACTTCTTCGGCACAAGAAAACGTGACAAGTGAATCCTATAGTAAGAAAGAACGGATTAGTGAATGAACAAGACTACCCTCACGCTATAAGTTAGATAATGCCGGAAAACGCCTATAAAGTCAGGTGTGGAAATATTTAATACTTGTTAACCCAGTAGTGATAAGGCGTTCTGCACTGTTTCCAACAAAATCAAAGCCATTTCAGTTTGAAAAGATCGCATATCGCTGTACAATTTCCTAGAAAATTTTACCTACCTTACTTTTCCCCCACGGACGCCGTACTCTTGAAAAAGCAGGAACTCCTATTAAGAAAATTGACATTTTATCAATCAGTTTAATCGTACGCAACAAATTCAATGACCATTCAACCTCATTAAATCGTACTAACCTAATAGCGATCGTATTTGAAACCTTAAGTGGGAACGTTGAAGATAAAATTAACAAGTGCAATGTATAATGAACAAACAGGAGACACGAACATGCAAGATGGACCAGGGATTGATCAACGCACACAGCATGCTGAGAGCCCCATGCGTCGGTAGTCGCAACACACGAGCATAAGCTGTACCTGGGGTGGAGCGGTAAAGGGCCGAAGGGGGTGAAACAACAGGCCGTGCCATTTGCGGATATGGGTTGATACCTATGGCTTGCAGGGCTTTCTCCGCGGCCGACCTCTTGGCCAGACGCTTGTTATCGCATGCAGCACCTCGAATCACCAAGTTGCCCAGTCTACACTTCAAACGAAAACAGAGTGTAGCTACTAAAGCGTTTACCACTACATCACTTTGGAAGGTAAGAGGACTCACGGAATAACGAAATTTCAGCGATCTATGGGTCACTTTGATAGTTCCGCTGCTTAGACAAAGTGGTGCGGAAATCGAAGGCGATAATTCCTCCACCACGTAAACAGGCGGCAGCTCACCGCGGATTCGCTGACTGAGATCTAAACGCTCAACGGGATGGATGCAACCTGTATACGTCCCATTGCCTCGAGAAACATAATCATCTCCCCTCCGATTTCCTGTTGGAAGCTAAAAAAAAAACATTAAAAAGTAGATTCGTGCTCAACCCATTTAGGGTAACCAAACATTTTGGCCATCCTTACAGAATTCTGCAATGGTGAACATCTAGTATCATCACCACACTTGAGTTTGTCAAACATCAGACGTGCGGCAAGCTCCTTTGCTCGTTCCACGCTTTTTGCGGACGCTTCAGTTCTGGTAAATGGAGGGAGGACACAGGATACGAAAAATTGCCGTTTTGAAACGACCTCCACCTAAGAAGTCTTGATTATATTTAGCTCTGCAGAAGAAAGTATTCATTTTCACTCACAACTTCGTAAGTTACTGAAAAACCTCGAAGCAGTGCAAGAAGATTGACTTTCCACACAAAACTCTGAATGAAAATCCAATCCATCTTTTCTACCAGCGCGCGAATAGCCTGAGTGAAAAAGACACTAAAATTAATTCGTAGCAAAAAAATAAAGTCCGTTCAGTCTATTAGCTCTTTATACATAAAACTTGATCATGTAGGCTGACAAAGCTTCTCTGCTTGGGCTAAAACGACAATAGGTGACTAAGAAAGTGTGCGGCTTCAGATCACCTGTTTTCAAACGACTTTCAGCACCGTTATAGATGAGTTATCAGAGCACGCATATATGAGAGGATGATACTTACGCTCAAAGCTTTGAAGCTCGCTTCCTGATATCCCAGAGGCGAAATAAAATCGCATTTACAAAATGATACACAGTAATCTGGTCCGGATTTAAACAATTGCACCGGAACTTTGATCAGCCTCCCCAACCTGAGTAAGTCCGCATACGAATGCTTTGATAGCAAAAGCTCAGCATCGAAAGGTCCCAATATAGACTTCAAATCATCAATTTTCGTCTAAAAGCCAACGGCAAAACAAAACCACATTGAAACTCGAATAACATGGAGCACAGCTAGTTCAATCTGAAAGACTATCCTTACGGTCAAATGCAAGCCAGTAGCCACAAGTGAGGCAAAGGCAAAGGACACAAACCACTTTGAATTTCTTAAAAGTTTGAAGAAGGCATTGACTTCTCAAAAACTGACTAATTAATACGGAGAAAAAAATCTGTCCGATCAAATATGAGACCAAAGATAGCAAGGAGTCGCCCATTTGCATCCTAAAATACATCCCATGGGATAACTTCCAGAAGGATAGGATTGCATTCTTGGAACTCAGAAAAAGTGTACACATTAGATGTTGTCACTCGCGGGCTCCATAACTCCAGCTGTCGCGAAATGTGCTGATTAAACGTCTCGTAATGGTATTTGGAAAATATTTTAAAGTTTGTAGCTAGGGGACGGTTAATCAAAAAATAAATTAATCGAAAACACTCGTAAAAGTCTATAAAAGCAACTCACTGAGACACAAGCAGGAAGCCCACACTGTTGCCTCAAAGAAGATAGGGCCATGTACGCAGAGGTTCTCTTAGCACTTTTAATGGAATGACCAAAACCGTCGTAAAAATCAGAGATTATTCCTTTCTGCCGAGTCGATACAACAGTCTGCACATGAAACAACCGCTCATGTGGAAGACCGGTTTCACCAACAACTATCTGATGAAATTGTAAACCTTCATTTCGACAATAATTTCGAAGAGATGGGATCGAATTTGAAGGTGAAGTCTGCCCAGACTCATGCATCTGAAAGCCAACATGCGACCTCGACAACGAATAAAGTATACACGGGAGAGAAAGGAGAGATGAAGTCCAAAAGTTTAGTCATCAATGTCCCCGTCTAATGTTTAAATCGATACAAACGTGGAGTAAATGCGAAAAACTAAAAGGGTGCCTTAAATAGAAGGAGGAGGCAGATAAATTCGGATACTATACATGTTACATTCATAAAAAACAATATGCTGCAAAAAAATGTCGAAAAATTATAAAACAACGGCACCCAAAGCCGACCGCTGCTGAAAGACTCAATTTAATGGACGTACAAACAAGGAGACAAAGTAAAACAAAAGGCAACTTTACAAATTATGGTTCGAGCATATATGATTCGTAATACAAAACGGTGCCACAACTACCGCAAAAAATTTCGTGTTTCAAGTATGCATATTGTAGCATCTTACTAGGTAGAAGAAGACATTAAGTGAATAATAACCCATTCTCGGCTGAGCAAAGGCACGAAGTCTGAACTTGGCCCCAAGGCCAACCCGCACATACAGAAACCAGACCTGTAGCGCCCCGAGACGTCCCACCGGGTAAAAAAGACACAGTGGAATTGGACGCACATATTCTGGAGAGAAAACGTGTCTCAAGCCTGAGCTTGGACCGAAGCGCAAGGATGAGACGAATCTTGAAATAACTCTCAGACGTCAGGTAGTCACATAAACAAAGTGCTACACTGTTCCTTTCTCACGAGCCAGCTAAGCCATTCAACTGCTATCATGAGACTGAGGAATGGTACTTGGACTCTTCAGCAGCTTCAACCGGATCTGGAGTTACGCTTGGTCTGCCAGCCGGACTCGAGGTCAATATATCTGTTGAGCATTAATTGTTTCCAAGTCTAGAAAGTGGAACTCTGGTCTAAAACAGATGTGTTACAGAGAAAACGGGATCAGACATAGTCTGTATATAAGGAGAACCCGACAGGAAA